CTCAGCGGCTGGGGGCCCTCCTAGAGTGACGCGCACGGAGAGAGAGACACGGGGAGAGACTCAGAGAGAGACTCACAGATACTCAGAGAGAGACACACGGGGAGAGACTCAGAGAGACACGGGGAGAGACTCAGAGAGAGACTCACAGAGACTCAGAGAGACTCAGAGAGACTCACAGAGAGACTCACGGAGAGAGACTCACAGAGAGACTCACGGAGAGAGACTCACAGAGAGAGACTCACACAGAGAAAGACTCAGAGAGACTCAGAGAGAGAGACACGAGGAGAGACTCAAAGAGAGACTCACAGAGAGAGAGACACGGGGAGAGACTCAGAGATACTCACAGAGACTCAGAGAGACTCACAGAGACTGAGAGAGACTCACAGAGACTCAGAGAGAGAGACACGGGGAGAGACTCAGAGAGAGAGACTCACAGAGACTCAGAGAGACTCAGAGAGAGAGACACGGGGAGAGACTCAGAGATACTCACAGAGACTCAGAGAGACTCACAGAGACTCACAGAGACTCAGAGAGTCTCAGAGAGAAAGACACGGGGAGAGACTCACAGAGAGAGAGACACGGGGAGAGACTCAGAGAGACTCACAGAGACTCAGAGAGAGACTCACAGAGACTCAGAGAGACTCAGAGAGAGAGAGACACGGGGAGAGACTCACAGAGAGACTCACAGAGACTCACAGAGACTCACAGAGAGAGAGCCTCACAGAGAGAGAGAGACACGGGGAGAGACTCACAGAGAGCCTCACAGAGACTCAGAGAGACTCACAGAGAGACTCACGGAGAGAGAGAGACACGGGGAGAGACTCACAGAGAGACTCACAGAGAATCAGAGAGACTCACAGAGACTCAGAGAGAGAGACACGAGGAGAGACTCAGAGAGACTCACAGAGACTCAGAGAGACTCAGAGAGACTCAGAGAGAGAGACACGGGGAGAGTCTCAGAGAGAGACTCACAGAGAGAGAGACTCACATAGAGAGAGACACGGGGAGAGACTCACAGAGAGACTCACAAAGAGAGAGGCTCACAGAGAGAGAGACACAGGGAGAAACTCACAGAGAGAAACTCACAGAGAGACTCAGAGAGAGACTCAGAGAGACTCACAGAGAGACTCACAGAGACTCACAGAGAGGCTCAGAGAGAGAGACACGGGGAGAGGCTCACAGAGAGACTCACAGAGAGAGTGAGACTCACAGAGAGAGAGAGACACGGGGAGAGACTCACAGAGAGACTCACAGAGACTCAGAGAGAGAGACACGGGGAGAGACTCACACAGAGAGACTCAGAGAGAGAGACACGGGGAGAGACTCACAGAGAGACTCACAGAGACTCACAGAGAGACTCAGAGAGAGAGAGAGAGACATGGGGAGAGACTCACACAGAGAGACTCAGAGAGAGAGACACGGGGAGAGACTCACAGAGAGACTCACAGAGACTCACAGAGACTCAGAGAGAGAGAAACGGGGAGAGACTCAGAGAGAGCCTCAGAGAGACTCACAGAGGGACTCACAGAGAGAGACTCACAGAGAGACTCACAGAGACTGACAGAGAGACTCAGAGAGAGACGCAGAGAGACTCACAGAGAGACTCACAGAGAGAGACTCACAGAGAGAGACTCACACAGAGAGAGACTCAGAGAGACTCAGAGAGAGAGACATGGGGAGAGACTCAGAGAGAGACTCACAGAGACTCACAGAGAGACTCAGAGAGAGAGAGACACGGGGAGAGACTCACACAGAGAGACTCAGAGAGAGACTCACAGAGAGACTCAGAGAGACTCACAGAGAGGGACTCACAGAGAGACTCACAGAGAGACTCACAGAGAGAGTGAGACTCACAGAGAGAGAGACACGGGGAGAGACTCACAGAGACTCACAGAGAGACTCACAGAGAATCAGAGAGAGAGACACGGGGAGAGACTCACACAGAGAGACTCAGAGAGAGAGACACGGGGAGAGACTCACAGAGAGACTCACAGAGACTCACAGAGAGACTCAGAGAGAGAGAGAGAGACACGGGGAGACCTCACACAGAGAGACTCAGAGAGAGAGACACGGGGAGAGACTCACAGAGAGACTCACAGAGACTCACAGAGACTCAGAGAGAGAGACACGGGGAGAGACTCAGAGAGAGCCTCAGAGAGACTCACAGAGAGACTCACAGAGAGAGACTCACAGAGAGACTCACAGAGACTGACAGAGAGACTCAGAGAGAGACGCAGAGAGACTCACAGAGAGACTCACAGAGAGAGACTCACAGAGAGAGACTCACACAGAGAGAGACTCAGAGAGACTCAGAGAGAGAGACACGGGGAGAGACTCAGAGAGAGACTCACAGAGACTCACAGAGAGACTCAGAGAGAGAGAGACACGGGGAGAGACTCACACAGAGAGCCTCAGAGAGAGACTCACAGAGAGTCTCAGAGAGACTCACAGAGAGAGACTCACAGAGAGACTCACAGAGACTGACAGAGAGACTCAGAGAGAGACTCAGAGAGACTCACAGAGAGACTCACAGAGAGACTCACAGAGAGAGACTCACAGAGAGAGAGACTCACACAGAGAGAGACTCAGAGAGACTCAGAGAGAGAGACACGGAGAGAGGCTCAGAGAGAGACTCACAGAGACTCACAGAGAACTCAGAGAGAGAGACACGGGGAGAGACTCACACAGAGAGACTCAGAGAGAGACTCACAGAGAGACTCACAGAGAGAGACTCACACAGAGAGAGACTCAGAGAGAGACTCACAGAGAGAGACTCACAGAGAGACTCACAGAGAGAGACTCACACAGAGAGAGACTCACAGAGAGAGACTCACACAGAGAGAGACTCACAGAGACAGACTCAGAGAGAGACTCAAAGAGAGACTCACAGAGACTCACAGAGAGACTCACAGAGAGAGACTCACAGAGAGACTCACAGAGAGAGACTCACACAAAGAGAGACTCACAGAGAGAGACTCAGAGAGAGACTCACAGAGAGACTCACAGAGACTCACAGAGAGTCTCAGAGAGAGACTCACAGAGAGACTCACAGAGAGAGACTCACAGAGAGAGACTCACAGAGAGAAACTCAGAGAGAGACTCACAGAGAGAGACTCACAGAGAGACTCACAGAGACTGACAGAGAGACTCAGAGAGAGACGCAGAGAGACTCACAGAGAGACTCACAGAGAGAGACTCACAGAGAGAGACTCACACAGAGAGAGACTCAGAGAGAGAGACACGGGGAGAGACTCAGAGAGAGACTCACAGAGACTCACAGAGAGACTCAGAGAGAGAGAGACACGGGGAGAGACTCACACAGAGAGACTCAGAGAGAGACTCACAGAGAGACTCAGAGAGACTCACAGAGAGGGACTCACAGAGAGACTCACAGAGAGACTCACAGAGAGAGTGAGACTCACAGAGAGAGAGACACGGGGAGAGACTCACAGAGACTCACAGAGAGACTCACAGAGACTCAGAGAGAGAGACACGGGGAGAGACTCACACAGAGAGACTCAGAGAGAGAGACACGGGGAGAGACTCACAGAGAGACTCACAGAGACTCACAGAGAGACTCAGAGAGAGAGAGAGACACGGGGAGAGACTCACACAGAGAGACTCAGAGAGAGAGACACGGGGAGAGACTCACAGAGAGACTCACAGAGACTCACAGAGACTCAGAGAGGGAGACACGGGGAGAGACTCAGAGAGAGCCTCAGAGAGACTCACAGAGAGACTCACAGAGAGAGACTCACAGAGAGACTCACAGAGACTGACAGAGAGACTCAGAGAGAGACGCAGAGAGACTCACAGAGAGACTCACAGAGAGAGACTCACAGAGAGAGACTCACACAGAGAGAGACTCAGAGAGACTCAGAGAGAGAGACACGGGGAGAGACTCAGAGAGAGACTCACAGAGACTCACAGAGAGACTCAGAGAGAGAGAGACACGGGGAGAGACTCACACAGAGAGCCTCAGAGAGAGACTCACAGAGAGAGACTCACAGAGAGAGACTCACAGAGAGACTCACAGAGACTGACAGAGAGACTCAGAGAGAGACTCAGAGAGACTCACAGAGAGACTCACAGAGAGAGACTCACAGAGAGAGAGACTCACACAGAGAGAGACTCAGAGAGAGAGACAAGGGGAGAGACTCAGAGAGAGACTCACAGAGACTCACAGAGAACTCAGAGAGAGAGACACGGGGAGAGACTCACACAGAGAGACTCAGAGAGAGACTCACAGAGAGACTCACAGAGAGAGACTCACACAGAGAGAGACTCAGAGAGAGACTCACAGAGAGAGACTCACAGAGAGACTCACAGAGAGAGACTCACACAGAGAGAGACTCACAGAGACAGACTCAGAGAGAGACTCAAAGAGAGACTCACAGAGACTCACAGAGAGACTCACAGAGAGAGACTCACAGAGAGACTCACAGAGAGAGACTCACACAAAGAGAGACTCACAGAGAGAGACTCAGAGAGAGACTCACAGAGAGACTCACAGAGACTCACAGAGAGTCTCAGAGAGAGACTCACAGAGAGACTCACAGAGAGAGACTCACAGAGAGAGACTCACAGAGAGGAACTCAGAGAGAGACTCACAGAGAGAGACTCACAGAGAGAGACTCACAGAAAGACTCAGAGAGAGACTCACAGAGAGAAACTCACAGAGAGAGACTCACAGAGAAACTCACAGAGAGAAACTCACAGAGAGACTCACAGAGAGAGACTCACAGAGAGAGACTCACAGAGAAACTCAGAGAGAGACTCACAGAGAGAGTCTCACAGAGAGAGACTCAGAGAGAGCCTCAGAGAGAGACTCACACAGAGAGAGACTCACAGAGAGACTCAGAGAGAGACTCACACAGAGAGACTCACAGAGAGAGGCTCAGAGAGAGACACACAGAGAGACTCACAAAGAGACTCACAGAGAGACTCACAGAGAGAGACTCACAGAGAGAGACTCACACGGAGAGAGACTCACAGAGAGAGACTCACAGAGACTCACAGAGAGACTCACAGAGAGACTCACATAGAGTCTCACACATAGATACTCACAGAGAGAGACTCACAGAGAGAGACTCACAGAGAAACTCAGAGAGAGTCTCACACATAGATACTCACAGAGAGAGACTCAGAGAGAGGCTCAGAGAGAGACTCACACAGAGAGACTCACAGAGAGAGGCTCAGAGAGAGACACACAGAGAGACTCACAAAGAGACTCACAGACAGACTCACAGAGAGAGACTCACAGAGAGAGACTCACACGGAGAGAGACTCACAGAGAGAGACTCACAGAGAGACTCACAGAGAGACTCACAGAGAGTCTCACACATAGAGACTCACAGAGAGAGACTCACAGAGAGAGACTCACAGAGAAACTCAGAGAGAGACTCACAGAGAGAGACTCACAGAGAGAGACTCAGAGAGAGACTCACACAGAGACTCACACAGAGAGACTCACAGAGAGACTCACAGAGAGAGACTCACAGAGAGAGACTCACACGGAGAGACTCAGAGAGAGACTCACACAGAGAGAGACTCACAGAGAGACTCAGAGAGAGAGGCTCAGAGAGAGTCTCACAGAGAGACTCACAGAGAGAGACTCACAGAGAGAGACTCACACAGAGAGAGACTCACAGAGAGACTCAGAGAGAGAGACTCACAGAGAGACTCACAGAGAGAGACTCACAGAGAGAGACTCACAGAGACTCACAGAGAGAGCCTCAGAGAGAGACTCACAGAGAGAGACTCACAGAGAGACTCACAGAGAGAGACTCACACAGAGAGACTCAGAGAGAGACTCACAGAGAGAGAGACTCACAGAGAGACTCACAGAGAGACTCACAGAGACTGACAGAGAGACTCAGAGAGAGACTCAGAGAGACTCACAGAGAGACTCAGAGAGAGAGACTCACAGAGAGACTCACAGAGAGAGACTCACAGAGAGAGACTCACAGAGACTCACAGAGAGAGCCTCAGAGAGAGACTCACAGAGAGAGACTCACAGAGAGACTCACAGAGAGAGACTCACACAGAGAGACTCAGAGAGAGACTCACAGAGAGAGAGACTCACAGAGAGACTCACAGAGAGACTCACCCGTGTGTTCAGCACGTGCCCCACACACTCACCCGTGTGTTCAGCACGTGCCTCACACTCACCCGTGTGTTCAGCACGTGCCCCCCACTCACCCGTGTGCTCAGCACGTGCCCCCACTCGCGCGTGTGTTCAGCACGTGCCCCCACTCACCCGTGTGTTCAGCACGTGCCCCCACTCACCCGTGTGTTCAGCACGTGCCCACACACTCACCCGTGTGTTCAGCACGTGCCCACACACTCACCCGTGTGTTCAGCACGTGCCCCCACTCACCCGTGTGTTCAGCACGTGCCCACACACTCACCCGTGTGTTCAGCACGTGCCCCACACTCACCCGTGTGCTCAGCACGTGCCCCCACTCGCCCTTGTGTTCAGCACGTGCCCCACACACTCACCCGTGTGTTCAGCACGTGCCCCCACTCGCCCTTGTGTTCAGCACGTGCCCACACACTCACCCGTGTGTTCAGCACGTGCCCACACACTCACCCGTGTGTTCAGCACGTGCCCCCACTCACCCGTGTGTTCAGCACGTGCCCACACTCACCCGTGTGTTCAGCACGTGCCCACACACTCACCCGTGTGTTCAGCACGTGCCTCACACTCACCCGTGTGTTCAGCACGTGCCCACACTCACCCGTGTGTTCAGCACGTGCCCACACACTCACCCGTGTGTTCAGCATGTGCCCACACTCGCCAGTGTGTTCAGCACGTGCCCACACACTCGCCAGTGTGTTCAGCACGTGCCCACACACTCACCCGTGTGTTCAGCATGTGCCCACACTCGCCAGTGTGTTCAGCACGTGCCCACACACTCGCCTGTGTGTTCAGCACGTGCCCCCACTCACCCGTGTGTTCAGCACGTGCCCACACTCACCCGTGTGTTCAGCACGTGCCCACACTCGCCCTTGTCGTACCACCACTTCTGCTTGATCTGTTGCAGCACTCCGCCCTCGTTCAGTTTCAGAATGGCGAGGTCCAAGGCACTCCTGGAGAGACGAGATCGCGACAAGTTAGAAGGAAGGCCTCAGGCCGCAGGGCCTCAAGCCTCAGGCCTCAAGCCTCAGGGCCTCAAGCTACAGGCCTCAAGCCGCAGGGCCTCAGGCCTCAAGCAGCAGGCCTCAAGCCTCAGGGCCTCAGGCCTCAAGCAGCAGGGACTCAAGCCTCAAGCAGCAGACCGCAGGCCTCAAGCCTCAGGCCTCAAGCTGCAGGCCTCAAGCCTCAGGCCTCAAGCCTCAAGCAGCAGGGCCTCAAGCCTCAAGCAGCAGGCCTTAAGCCTCAGGCCTCAAGCCTCAAGCCGCAGGCCTCAAGCCTCAGGGCCTCAAGCCTCAGGGCCTCAAGCTTCAAGCCGCAGGCCTCAGGCCTCAAGCCTCAGGCCTCAAGCAACAGGCCTCAAGCCTCAGGCCTCAAGCCTCAGGGCCACAAGCAGCAGGGCCTCAAACCTCAGGCCTCAAGCAGCAGGCTTCAAGCCTCAAGCCTCAAGCCTCAGGGCCTCAAGCAACAAGCCTCAGGCCTCAAGCCTCAGGGCCTCAAGCCTCAGGCCTCAAGCCTCAGGCCTCAAGCAGCAAGCCTCAGGCCTCAGGCCTCAAGCCTCAGGGCCTCAAGCCGCAGGCCTCAGGCCTCAGGGCCTCAAGCCTCAGGGCCTCAAGCCTCAGGGCCTCTGTGTGTGCCACATCGCCAGGCTACCGGCGATGTGGCACACACAGAGGGGGGTGGGTGGCTACCAGCACCACCATCACCACCACCACGACCATCACCACCACCACCATCACCACCAGCACGACCATCACCACCATCACCACCACCACGACCATCACCACCACCACGACCATCATCACCATCACCGCCACTATTACCATCATCACCACCATCATCACCACCACCACAACCATCATCACCATCACCGCCACCATTACCACCATCATCACCATCACCACCGCCACGACCATCATTACCATCATCACCACCATTACCATCATCACCATCACCACCACGACCATCATCACCATCACCACCACCACCACCACGACCATCACCGCCACCATCATCGCCCGACTTTCTCACCCCTCCCTCACCCCACGTCTCTCTCTCTCACTCACCCCTCCCTCACCCCACGTCTCTCTCCCCTCACCACTCCCTCACCCCACGTCTCTCTCACTCACCCCTCCCTCACCCCACGTCTCTCTCCCCTCACCACTCCCTCACCCCACGTCTCTCTCACTCACCCCTCCCTCACCCCACGTCTCTCTCCCCTCACCACTCCCTCACCCCACCTCTCTCTCTCTCTCACCACTCCCTCACCCCACGTCTCTCTCTCACCACTCACTCACCCCACGTCTCTCTCACCACTCACTCACCCCACCTCTCTCTCTCTCACTCACCACTCCCTCACCCCACGTCTCTCTCTCTCACTCACCACTCACTCACCCCACGTCTCTCTCTCTCACCACTCACTCACCCCACGTCTCTCTCTCTCACTCACCACTCACTCACCCCACGTCTCTCTCCTCACCACTCCCTCACCCCACGTCTCTCTCACTCACCCCTCCCTCACCCCACGTCTCTCTCACTCACCCCTCCCTCACCCCACGTCTCTCTCCCCTCACCACTCCCTCACCCCACGTCTCTCTCCCCTCACCACTCCCTCACCCCACGTCTCTCTCACTCACCACTCACTCACCCCACCTCTCTCTCTCTCTCACCACTCCCTCACCCCATGTCTCTCTCTCACCACTCCCTCACCCCACGTCTCTCTCTCCTCACCACTCCCTCACCCCACGTCTCTCTCTCACCACTCACTCACCCCACGTCTCTCTCACCACTCACTCACCCCACCTCTCTCTCTCTCACTCACCACTCCCTCACCCCACGTCTCTCTCTCTCACTCACCACTCACTCACCCCACGTCTCTCTCTCCTCACCACTCCCTCACCCCACGTCTCTCTCTCCTCACCACTCCCTCACCCCACGTCTCTCTCTCTCACTCACCACTCACTCACCCCACGTCTCTCTCTCACCACTCACTCACTCACTCACCCCACGTCTCTCTCTCTCACTCACCCCACGTCTCTCTCTCTCACCACTCACTCACTCACCCCACGTCTCTCTCACCACTCCCTCACCCCACATCTCTCTCTCTCACTCACCACTCACTCACCCCACGTCTCTCTCACCACTCACTCACCCCACGTCTCTCTCACTCACCACTCACTCACCCCACGTCTCTCTCACCCCTCACTCACCCCACGTCTCTCTCACTCACCACTCCCTCACCCCACGTCTCTCTCTCTCAGTCACCACTCCCTCACCCCACGTCTCTCTCTCTCACTCACCACTCCCTCACCCCACGTCTCTCTCTCTCACTCACCACTCCCTCACCCCACGTCTCTCTCTCTCACTCACCACTCACTCACCCCACGTCTCTCTCTCTCTCACCACTCACTCACCCCACGTCTCTCTCTCTCACCACTCACTCACTCACCCCACGTCTCTCTCACCACTCCCTCACCCCACGTCTCTCTCTCTCACTACTCACTCACCCCACGTCTCTCTCACTCACCCCACGTCTCTATCACTCACCACTCACTCACCCCACGTCTCTCTCCCTCACCCCACGTCTCTCTCTCCACGTCTCTCTCTCTCACTCACCACTCACTCACCCCACGTCTCTCTCACCACTCACCACTCACTCACCCCACGTCTCTCTCTCTCACCACTCACTCACCCCACGTCTCTCACTTACCACTCACTCACCCCACGTCTCTCTCTCTCACTCACCACTCTCTCACCCCACGTCTCTCTCTCTCACTCACCACTCACTCACCCCACTTCTCTCTCCCTCACCCCACGTCTCTCTCACTCACCACTCCCTCACCCCACGTCTCTCTCTCTCACTCACCACTCCCTCACCCCACATCTCTCTCTCTCACCACTCACTCACCCCACGTCTCTCACTCACCACTCACTCACCCCACGTCTCTCACTCACCACTCACTCACCCCACGTCTCTCTCTCTCACCACTCACTCACCCCACGTCTCCCTCACTCACCACTCACTCACCCCACGTCTCTCTCACTCACCACTCACTCACCCCACGTCTCTCTCACTCACTCACCACTCACTCACCCCACGTCTCTCTCTCTCACTCACCACTCACCCACCCCACGTCTCTCTCTCTCACTCACCACTCACTCACCCCACGTCTCTCTCTCTCACTCACCACTCACTCACCCCACGTCTCTCTCTCACTCACTCACCACTCCCTCACCTGAGCTGCGAGCCACGTGGCATGGCTATCCCGTATCCCCGCTGGTTGATGTCTCGACCCACACGCCTGGTGTCACACGGAGCTCGCTGGCTGATGTACTCTCACTCACCACTCACTCACCACTCACTCACCCCACGTCTCTCTCTCTCACTCACCACTCACTCACCACTCACTCAGCCCACGTCTCTCTCTCACCACTCACTCACCACTCACCACTCACTCACCACTCACTCACCACTCACTCACCCCACGTCTCTCTCACCACTCACTCACCACTCACTCACCACTCACTCACCCCACGTCTCTCTCTCTCACTCACCACTCACCACTCACTCACCACTCACTCACCACTCACTCACCCCACGTCTCTCTCACCATTCACTCACCACTCACTCACCACTCACCCCACGTCTCTCTCTCTCTCCTCACTCACCCCACGTCTCTCTCTCTCTCCACGTCTCTCTCTCTCACTCACCACTCACTCACCCCACGTCTCTCTCTCTCTCACTCACCACTCACTCACCCCACGTGTCTCTCTCTCTCACCACTCACCACTCACTCACCCCACGTCTCTCACTCACCACTCACTCACCCCACGTCTCTCTCTCTCACTCACCACTCTCTCACCCCACGTCTCTCTCACTCACTCACCACTCACTCACCACACGTCTCTCTCTCTCACTCACCACTCACTCACCACTCACTCACCCCACGTCTCTCTCTCTCACTCACCACTCACTCACCACTCACTCACCCCACGTCTCTCTCACTCACCACTCACCCCACGTCTCTCTCACTCACCCCACGTCTCTCTCACCTGAGCTGCGAGCCACGTGGCATGGCTATGCCGTATCCCCGCTGGTTGATGTCTCGACCCACACGCCTGGTGTCACACGGAGCTCGCTGGCTGATGTACTCTCACTCACCACTCACTCACCACTCACTCACCCCACACGTCGCTCTCACTCACCACTCACTCACCACTCACTCACCACACGTCTCTCTCTCTCACCACTCACTCACCCCACGTCTCTCTCACCTGAGCTGCGAGCCACGTGGCATGGCTATGCCGTATCCCCGCTGGTTGATGTCTCGACCCACACGCCTGGTGTCACACGGAGCTCGCTGGCTGATGTACTCTCACTCACCACTCACTCACCACTCACTCACCACACGTCTCTCTCTCTCACTCACCACTCACTCACCACTCACTCACCACACGTCTCTCTCACTCACCACTCACTCACCCCACGTCTCTCTCACCTGAGCTGCGAGCCACGTGGCATGGCTATCCCGTATCCCCGCTGGTTGATGTCTCGACCCACACGCCTGGTGTCACACGGAGCTCGCTGGCTGATGAACTCTCACTCACCACTCACTCACCACTCACTCACCACTCACTCACCACTCACTCACCACTCACTCACCCCACGTCTCTCTCTCTCACTCACCACTCACTCACCCCACGTCTCTCTCTCACTCACCACTCACTCACCACTCACTCACCCCACGTCTCTCTCTCTCACTCACCACTCACTCACCACTCACTCACCCCACGTCTCTCTCTCCTCACCCCACGTCTCTCTCACCTGAGCTGCGAGCCACGTGGCATGGCGATGCCGTATCCCCGCTGGTTGATGTCTCGACCCACACGCCTGGTGTCACACGGAGCTCGCTGGCTGATGTACTCTCACTCACCACTCACTCACCACTCACTCACCACTCACTCACCACTCACTCACCACACGTCTCTCTCTCTCACTCACTCACCACTCACTCACCACTCACTCACCCCACGTCTCTCTCTCTCACTCACCCCACGTCTCTCTCACCTGAGCTGCGAGCCACGTGGCATGGCGATGCCGTATCCCCGCTGGTTGATGTCTCTACCCACACGCCTGGTGTCACACGGAGCTCGCTGGCTGATGTACTCTCACTCACCACTCACTCACCACTCACTCACCACTCACTCACCACTCACTCACCCCACGTCTCTCTCTCTCACCCCTCACTCACCCCACGTCTCCCTCACCTGAGCTGCGAGCCACGTGGCATGGCGATGCCGTATCCCCGCTGGTTGATGTCTCTACCCACACGCCTGGTGTCACACGGAGCTCGCTGGCTGATGT